CTTGGTGGATGCTGAGAGCTATACTTAATATCTCTTGGAGACAACATCCAAATAAAATTACATCAATCTTTTTAAAGTAACAAATCAAAATTAAAATATATAGTGCACAAAAATACAATATGGTTGTGCTATGGTGTCTCTAAATGAAAATATTTTGAATGTGAATAATGTATAAAAGAAAATTCATAAACAAAGCAAAGTTCAATACAAACTGCCGCAGGTGAATTAATAACATTTGTCAAATCTTTTATATACCCAGGACGTGAAATAATTTCTACTGAAAAGAATGCAAAAATTTGCATAGCTAAAGCCTGGACTGCCTTGGATAAAATGAATATAATCTGGAAAGGGGAGATTCTTTTGAGCCACTGTAGAGGCGGTGTTAATGTATAGTGCCACAGCCTGGACAAACTTGACAGAACCTGCATTCAGATGTAGAGGGTTATACCTAAAGACAACATCCAATTAAATTACAGATCTATGGACTTATCCCTGATATTTCTACAATCATGTGAATACAGAATGCGCATTGCAGGACTGTGATGGTGAAGAAAATGAGAACTTGTAAGTGATCAACTGCTCTAGACACCAAGCTATAGAGCAAGAGAGGTTGCTTTCCCAGTAACCATCTACATTAACCAGCTATGTATGACACAGAATGTCACCCTAATGATCTTCTGATCTTCTGTGCAAAGGTAAGTGAACCCCTAAGATAATATTCAAGAATATTCTTTCTTTTTCCAGATGTTTAACGAATAAACTATATATTCACTAAGAAAAAAACTTTATGAAGTCAATTACAACCACTTTCAACAATTTTTATCAAGCTGAAATAAAAATATTAATTAAAAATTGTGGCGGACATGAGACAGAACCTGGGACGAGCACAACTGGTCGCGACTTGCCTTGTCCCCGCCAAAAAAGAGCCCGTATTTGCTTAGCATGTAAAGCTACTGCAGTTGAAATGAGGGAGAGAAAAAAAAAGCACTTACCGCTCTGCCGTAATCCATCCTCGGCCAGTTAACGTAAAAGAATGAGGGGGGACCGGCATCGCATTTTTATGCAATAACAATGCAATGAATTATGGGATCACGTGAAGACGCAAGGGATCATGGGTATATGAACAACTATAAAAACAACTACTTTTTTCTGAGTCGGGGAGTTCTTCGAGGGACGTTCACGGTTGACGACAAGAACGGTCAGTTAGTGTGATTTGGAGACAGAACTCAAGAAGTAACGACTCAAGGTTGAAATACCAGCTGGGAGAGCTTGAATTTATTCGCTGGTTACTGTTTTCTTCATTCGCCTCAAAAATTAAGATGTGCAAAAGTAAGTGAACCCTTATATTTAATATTTGGTGACGGCTACTTTTGAGGTTACAATGTCAACCAGTCCTTTTCTATAATTTTAAAGAAGTTTCTGGCAGTAGTGAGTGCTAATGTTTGACCATTCTCCTTGGCAAAACTCCCACAATTGCTCATTATTACCTGGTTTTCTTGCATTCTACTCTTCAAAGGCCCTATTAGGAGCTCACTAGATATAGCATCTATTATTTTACCCAAGAAGATTTAGTTGGGTCTTATCTGGCCATAAAACCTTTTGCCAGAATGTTTCTAGCTTATTAAGATGTGCTTTGGAATAGTTAAGGTAAGTATGTTTCTGCTATTTCGTAAGCAGTGGCTTTTTCTAGACATTCTGCCATGAAGATCAGCTTTGTTCAGATTTCATTGCACTTTAGATGTATGAACATTGATTCTGACATTGACCAATGAGCATGGAAAAACTGCAAAGGGTCATAGCAGGATTTGCATAAGCTTGCTGAACTAGATGTTTACTTGCTTTTGCTGTAATTTTTCATAGACAGCTACTTCCTGATTGCGATGCTGTCATGCAAAAGGCCTTCCATTTATAAATAATTTGTTGCACAGTGAAGAAGTGCACTCCAAACCATTTTGATAGATTTTTGTTACCTTCTCCATTATTATAGGTTTCAACTATGCCATCATACAAAAGGCTTTCCATTTATAAATAATTTATTGCATGATGTAGAAGTACACTCCAAACCACTTTGATAGATTTTTGTAGCCTTTTCCATTATTACAGGTTTCAATGATGCCATTTTTTTAAATTTAGTTTCTAACAGCACAGTTTTGCATACACAATGAGTTATATTGTTTGACTGCAGTATACACAGCTTATCAAAAAAATGACCATGTGTAATTTTGATTTTTACATGTGCACAAAAAATGATTTGTACTGGCAACCATTTAAAACAAAAATACAGTGTGTAAATGTAAGGGGTCAGTTAGTTTTGCACATCTTAATTTTTATTTTTTAATCAATATTTTTATTCCAGCTTAATAAATTTTGTTTTATGGTGCTTCTAATTGATTTAATAAAAGTTTTTTTTTTTTAATGAATATATAGTTTAAGATTTTTTGATCATCTGGAAAAAAAAAGACAATTTTTTAAATATTATCTTAGGGGTTCACTTCCGTTTGATCAGCACTGTACACTTATGCATGTTCGAGCTAGCTCAACCCAATAATATAAAATTATGAAAAATTCTCCATTTTATCATTCTCTATAGCAAACCAAAAATTTGATGTCACATTAAATATTTCTTTGTATTTTTATTCATATATCCAACATGTGCAATTTCCATATATTAACTTTCTTTTCATTAGACCAAATTTGATGAAAATATTTATGCACATTTCCTTGTGCTTTGCAGTCATGGATCATTTTATGCACCTTCAGGTATTCAAACTGCTGAAACGCTATGGAGAAAGCTATTCGCAGACACCGATTTGACAATTTTTTCCAGCTTCTCTCTCATAAATCCCATTAACCCTACCAGCCTTCTAATACTGTCGGCGTACATATCTACTGCCTCATCTGTTCATTTCACTTCCTGCAGTCTGTTGTAAACTTGGGGGGGGGCTCAATTGCCCTCACTAATTTATATTAAACACAATGCCACAAAATAATAACAAGAAGAAGAAACAAGAAAATTCAGACAAAAGGAATTGTATAAATAAACAGATTTTATATAACAAATGTACAAAACAATAGTTATGAATGTTGTTTAAAATGGTGAAATAAACTTGTCTTTTTTGATTTTTATGTGAGGTAATGTTCCAGTTTGATTGACTGCAGGTTCTAGGGTAATTTGTGTGAATTTGGAAATATTCAGTTCAATGTAATATTATTTGTATTCAAAATAAACAGTTTTGTGTATGTGACTTACATTGTGTTTGATGTTTGAGTGTCTGTCACTTCATTGTTTTCTAACATGAGTTTACTTTGCATTGAATGAAGGAAATAGACTGTCGTTATGTTAGAAAGGATTTTTAACTTATAGTCTGAACTTCAGTCGAAAGTTATTTTATGATCTGTGTCATCATGTAGCATGTAGCTTTTTTGGCTGATTTTTTTCCCTCGTTTTCTGTTTCTTAATTTTTGTTGCTTATATAAGCGATATAAGTCATGTGATAGGCTCCAGAAAATGTGTTAAAATTTTGGAACAAATGTACCTTTGATCAGATCAAATTAAGGTCAGACGTGCAGACATAGTCGACAACATGCCATGTGATAATTTTGAAGCAATCAAATTACGTTAGTTGTGTAATTTAATTTGAAACCTATGTTTTGTTCAATTTTTGAAGGTTTTTATAACAATATAGGGTCTTGATCCTTTACACTGTAAACAGCCCTTCAGTAAATGCATCTTTTAACCTATTTTCAGTGACTAACTGATCCTGATTGTTTATTTCTAGAGTTAAAGTGCCATTTTGCAGGAAAAGTGGTATGAAGATGGGCAAATCAAGGACAATTTTGTAGTTTTCCATTCTTTTCACATGGAAAAAATCTGATTCAAATTTTGCATTTATACTTAATATCAGTTTGTGTTTCTATTGTTCTATGTTTAATATTTATGTTTAATATCGGTTTCTGTTTAATACTAATATCCTCAGGCAACTTTAAATTTGGTGAAAATTTATTATCTGTATTTTTTTAAAGTATTTCACTCCAAGCAAGGCGGGAAACAACTAGCATGCAAGGTGTTACAGAATAGGAGCGAGAGCAAATAAGAGTGATAGAGGAAGGATGAAGAGAAGGTTAGGGGATAGATCAGGACATCTGGAGACATTGATTGACATTACATTTGAATAGTTGGAGATTATAGCTATCAGGGAAACAAGAAAAGAGGGGGGGAGTTCCACAGGCGTGAAGTGTGAGACATGAAGCTATTGAAGTAGAAGAGATGGCTAGATTTATTAGTTTTGACAGTGAAAGGATGAGAGCAAGATATCAGCTTAGTAGAACACTTAAATTCATGAAGTCTGGGAACCAGTGAAAGCAGCTCATTGGAGCAGTTACCATGAAAGTATTTGCAAAAAAGACAGAGGGAGGCGACAGCGCATCTGTGAGAGAGCGACTGCAGATGAGATGCCAGATCAGGGCCAATTACACTGCATATCCGTCTCTGGATTTTATCAAGAACCTAGAGACAAAAAGAAGGAGCTCCAGACCATATATGGCAGCAATACTCCATGCAAGAGCAAATGGTTGATTTGTAGATTTGAAGGATTGACTCCAGTGAGAAAAATTTTCTGGCGCAGCACAGGGAGCCAGTTTACTATTTGTTTCTATTGTCATCAACTAATGTAGTAATATTCTTTTGTCCATCATTTTTCTCCCCCAAGCAAAAAACTGGTAAATGTTTTATTCATATTTCCTGTTTGCTTATGGTCTTACGAATGTTTTTTGAAGCCTCTTATACTTCGTATTTAACCAATATTTGTTGAATATGTCTCATTCATTTTTACTATTTTCTTATTTTTCTTTCAATTTATCCTAAGTGCAGGTAGCATGATGGTTACTGGTGTGGAAAATGGAATTAGGTGGCAAGGTTCAAACTCTGGCTTAGATTTTTTGCATTCACTTGTGCATTAGTGCCTTCCTAGAATGCATGAATTTATCTATTTCCCCACTAGCTATGGATTAAATATCAGAAGAAAAAGAAGAGTAAAAAGGGTGGGATGAATGAGAAAGAAAAAAAGAAGGAAGAGAGGAAAAGCAGAAGAAGAAGAAGAAGAAGGTGAAGAAGGAGGAGGAGGGGAGAAACAGATGGAAGAGTGGGAAAAAGAAAGAGGTGGGTGTGGAGGAGAAGGAGGATGAGGGAAGAAGAAGAAGAAGAAGAAGAAGAAGAAGAAGAAGAAGAAGAAGAAGAAGAAGGCGGCGAAGGAGAAGGAGGGGAAAGCAGATAGAAGAGTGGGAAGAAGGAAGAGATGGGTGTAGAGGAGCAGGAGGGGAAGGAAGAGGAGAGGGAGAAGAAGAAAAAGGGTGAAATCAAGAAGAAGAAGGAAGAGAAAAAGAAGAAGGAAGAGAAAATGTACTTCTATTATTGCATAGTTGCCAAGAAGAAACAGAAGGAAAAGAAGAAGGAAAAAGAAGAGAAGGAAGACAAAAAGCAGAAAGAAGAGAAGAAAGAAAAGAAGGAGGATGAGAAGATGGAGAAAAAGAAGACAGAAGAGAAGAAATTCTCCTATAATTGCATTGCTATTAAGAAGAAGAAGAAGAAAAAGAAGAAAAAAGAAAAAGACGGAAAATAAGAAAAAGGAAGAGAAGAAAAAGAAAAAGAAGAGGGAAGACAAGAAGAAGAAATAAGAGAAGAAAAAAGTAGAACAAGAAAACAAAGGCAAATAAGAAGGAAGAGAAGAAAGAGAGGAGAAATGAAGAAACATAAGAAGAAGGAAGAGAAAAGTAGAAAGAGAAGGAGTAAAAGAAATCGATGTAGAAAAAGAGGAAGAAAAATCAAGAGAAGAAGAAAAAGATTATAAAATTACGACAAAAGCTTGCTCTGTGTTTTAGTGTTTATATTCAAGATTTCATGAATATTAAAATAAACCAAGTAAACAACATTCTATTCACTATAGAATAATAATGATTTCCACATAATCAAAAGATTGACTCTTATACAACCATAAGAGTCCATTACATAGAGAAAATATGTTGTGCATTTGAATCCAAATTGTCCAAGTTCATGTTTTCTTTCTTTTTTTTTTTTTAAGCACTTTTGACCTTCTCAGTCATTATCAAGAACTGGATGTTATCTGTATGATAGACAAACTTTTGTTGTCTACATCCTCACATCATTTTTATAATGGGAATGTGAAAATTCAAATTGATTCAAATATACATTCTCTTGGTATATTCTTTTCCAGTGTAGTACAAATCTTCAAAATATGACATTATTTATACTTTTACTATTATTTATACTTATACTATTTTTCCAAATTTGTCTTTGACCAACGACCATTTCATATACACCACAGTTTTTTCTAAAGCAAGCTTGGAGTTCAGGAAGGTTATCCATAGTAGCATGTAAATTCCTTGTAGAATAAAGGGTAACAACGTCACCTGACTAGATTTTGCTGCTGTGGTTTCTGTAGCAAAGAGGTTTTGCAGGGTGGAGTTGCTGGGTCACTCTCAAATGGTTTTGAATTTAAAGTTGTTTTTCTTCTAGACTGAGCACCAACCCAAGCTAGAGAGGGCAGTCTGTCCATCTATCTGAGCCACAGCTACCAATTTAACTGAATAGATAGAGAAACAAATATGAATAGATTGAGATAGAAAGATAACAATGGACAAAGATAGATCTGTAGATGTAAACAAAGTGACAGATATTTGAATATGAGTAAGAACTTTTACACTCATACATACTAAGAAAAATTTAGTTGTAAAATAAACATGAAAATAAAAATATCTTACATTTTTATATTAAACACATTTTTTAACTTTTTCTGTGTTGTGGGTTGATTCAAATCTGTAATAGATAGATAGATAGATAGATAGATAGATAGATAGATAGATAGATAGATAGATATGAATGGACAGAAACAGATAGATAGATAGATAGATAGATAGATAGATAGATAGATAGATAGATAGATAGATAATGAACAGACTGAGATTGTTTGACAGATATATATATATATATATATATATATATATATATATATATATATGCATAGATATATACAAAGTCAGATAATAACAACAGAAACAGATAACTAGATAGATAGACAGACAGATAGATAATGAACAGACTGGGATAGATAGATAGATAGATAGATAGATAGATAGATAGATAGATAGATAGATAGATAGATAGATAATGAGCAGACTGAGATAGATTGACAGATAGATAAATATATATATATATATATATATATATATATATATATATATACAGATACATACATACATACATACTCAGATATGAATAACAGAAATGAATAACTAGATAGATATATAGAGATAGATAGATGGAATGAGAGTGAGACATATAAACAAAAAGAAATAGATAGATAAACATATAGATAGACAGAAAGACAGACATAAAGCTATTAGATAAAAAATGTTTCACATCTTTTCTGTGATTAGTTTATTTAGCGTTAAATAAAAATAGCAAGGTGAACATCTAAGTGTCTTAATTCCCTAATTTTTTGCCAGGGGTTGTGCATCCATGAAATGAAACTGCTTAATGATTCATAAAGATAGACTGAAAGCCAGTATACAGACCAAAGCAGTTTCTGAGATGCGCAGACCTATCTGTAATTATTTTAAAATGTCCTTAAGACATGGAATTATATAAGAGACTGTGTTTTATAACAAGGTAAACCGATAAGTCGCTTTCCAAATAATTAGAACCTAGCTTTATAATACTGATTGGATTTACACAAAGACATTCCTTTTGGCTTCCTTACTAGTATGAGAAATAAAATAATCAATGATTGCTTCTTTATCATATACCAACTGCTTACACAAGAAACAAAACTCAGTATACATACATACATACATACATACATACATACATACATACATATTGGTGGACTCTCATGTCGATTTTCAATGTATGATGGCCAAAAAGTACAGTTTAATGATCGAAGCACCAGATTGTACATGCATATGATTTGATTATACACAAATAGACAAACAGCTCTTCTCAGGTTTGAATTTAAATAAAAGAAATGAAAATAAATAAAAAATAAAAATAAAGTTAAACAAGAAAAAATGAATGAATAAATAAAAATAATAAAATTTAATAATAAAATAATTTAAAAATACAAAATACAATGAAAATCTTATTTTTATTCTTAGTTTTTCTTACCTATTTATGGGATAAAAATATATACATTTTTTTTATATATCAACTACAGTTTTAAGATAAAAGGTTTTCCTGTGATGTGTTTTATCCCTTAGGACTTCACTAAGTTTATTTTTAAGTTATGACTTCATTAAATTAAATTTCTTTTATGTTGATGTGATTACACATGTGTACAAATAAGAAATGCTAGGAATTTTGAATTTTAAAAAAATTTTCTTTTAAATATGTGTTTTTTGCATCCAGGTTCTTACAACATTTTACCATTCTTGGCAGATCTTCTATTATCAGAATGTGAGATATATTTAATAACAAAAGTAATGGAAACACAAACAAATAGAAAAAGAATCTCAATGAAATTGGATAGACTATATATATATATATATATATATGATAGTTGTATACTTAGGCAGCAATCCTTCTATTATGCATGTTTCATTAAAAACGACAGACAAGGTACTACAGTTAAGCTTTTTGTTTAATTTTTCTTGTGTTTGAACAAGAGCTTTCTTTTCTGGACAAAGAGTGTTTAAAAACTGTCCAAATGTTTTATATTTCCGAGCACATTCGGCTATACCTTTAGCCATTATCAATCGATTTTTAAGCTTAATTGAGTGCGTGCATTATGCGTATGTCTTAGTGTGTGTGGTAGGGACGTTTTAACTTCAGAATACGGTTAGCACATTGTGGCCTTGTTTTAAAAGTTAATATTGTTAAGAGTTGTTTTTTTCTTTTTTATTATTAAAGCTTCCATTATTTATTATTTATTATCATCCTTGATAATGGCTAAAGGTATAGCCGAAAGCACTTGAAAATATAAAACATTTGGACATTTTACATAACACCCTTTGTCATTTTTAATGAAACATATAATATATATATATATATATATATATATATATATATATATATATATATATATATATATATACAAAAAAACATAGATTGTTTTTAAATTTAAAATTGTCAGGGTCTCTTGTTCATGCACCCGTATAATAATATAAATATAAACTTAGTTTGATAAAGTACTAAATGACGAATTGCATTTTGTAAAACCTTTTTCTACTTTGTCCTAATTACCTATTTATAATTTCATCTATACCTTTATGTTTTCCATAGGAAAATGAACTACTCCATTATCTTGCCAGTGGCGTATAGATAAAGAAGTGTTAGGTTGTACAATTTTAATTTGTGCCTGACATTTTGTATATACATAAAACATTGAAGAGCAGTGAGGAAGAAATATATCTATTCTTGGTATATAAATATACACACACACACACACACACACACACACACAGAGACATATATATATATATATATATATATATATATATATATATATATATATAGATATCTAAGTATAGGATTGGTGCATATGGAATAAATTCTAATAACCAACAAATACTATTCTTAAAAGAGTGCTCAATAGAGAGTAAAGCAAATATAATCAATTATTCAAAAATTATAACATAAAAATGTTATAAAATCACTACAAAAATAACCATTTTGTTTTAACACTTCTGGTGTCTTCTCAAGTGATGATTTGAACCTTTTAAAACCCTTTATTCTACATTCAACACCATCACTTGAGAAGACACCAGAAGTTTTAAAACAAAATGGCTATTTTTGTAGTGATTTTATAACATTTTTATGTTATAATTTTCAAATAAATGATTATATATATATATATATATATATATATATATATATATATATATATATATATATATACACTGTGCTTTGCAAAAGTAAATGAACCCCTAAGATAATATTTAAAATAATTGTCACTTTTTTCTAGATAATCAACAAATCTTAATTAAACTATATATTAATTAAGAAAAGCCTTTATGAAATGAATTACAACCACTTGCAAATATTTATATCAAGTTGGAATAAAAATATTAATTAAAAATTAAGATGTGCAAAAGTAAGTGAACCCTTACGTTTCCACTTTGTATTTTGGTTTTACATATTTGCCAGTGCAAATCATTTTTTGTGCATATACAAAACTCAAAATCACACATGGTCGTTTTTTTTTGGTAAGCTATGTATACTGTTCTCAAACAATATAACTCATTGTGTATGCAAAAGTGTGCAGTTAGAAACTAAATTTAAAAAGATATTTATGCAATGATCAAAAGAATTTTCTGAAGCTTTAAAAAATCACATAGTTGAAACCTATAATAATGGAGAAGGCAACAAAATTCTATCAAAATGGTTTGGAGTGCACTTCTTCACTGTGCAACAAATTATTTATAAATGGAAGGCCTTTAGTATGACAGCATCACAATCAAGAAGTGGCTGTCTATGAAAAATAACATCTAAAGTAGACATCTAGTTCAGCAAGCCTATACAAATCCTGCTATGACCCTTTGTAGTTTTTCCATGCTCATTGGTCAATGTCAGAATCAAGGTTCATACATTTACAGTGCAATGAAATCTGAACAAAGCTGATCTTCATGGAAAAATGCCTAGGAAAATCCACCGCTTATGAAATAGCAGAAGCATGCTCGCTTCACCTTGCCAATGCTTTTATTAATAAGCTAGAAACATTCTGACAAAAGGTTTTATGGCAGGATGAGACCGAACTAGAGCTTTTTTGGAAGAACAATAGATGGTATATCTAATAGACCTTCTGAAGTGAATTTGCTATCAACCATTAAACATAACGGTGATAGCATTATGATTTGGGATACTCTTCTGCAGCTGGAACATGCAAAATAGTATGCTTTGATGGCACAATGGACACTGCAAGATACCAAGCAATTTTGAATAAAATTGTCTTATCCTCAGTTCAAAAGCTGGGTTTATGTTGGGGATGGAACTTCCAGCAGGACAATGATCAGGAGCATCAAAGCAAATCCACAAAAGAATAGGTTCATAAAAATAAATTTAAAGTCTTGGAATGGCCTTGTCAATCTGATCTAAACCCAATTTAAAATTTATGATTCATGCATGGAACCCAGATAATACTGAGCAATTGTGGGAGATTTGCCAAGAAGAATGGCTAAAAACCTCTTAAAAATGATAGAAAAAACCGTTTGACATTTTAACCTCAAAGGACCAGATATTAAATGTAAGGGTTCACTTACTTTTGCACATCTTAATTTTTAAATTTGAATGAATATTTTTATTCCAGCTTAATAAAAATCTTTGAATGTAGTTGTAATTGACTTAATAAAGGTTTTTTCTTAATGAAAGTATAGTTAAAGATTTGTTAATAATGTGGAAAAAAGAAACAATTTTTAAAATATTATCTTAGGAGTTCACTTACTTTTGAACAGCAATGTTTGGGTGTATGTTCACTGCTAAGCAAAATCTTAAGGCCACTGAAATAATGAAAAAATATGACTTTTGTGTTGTTAGATTCAGCCACATATTTGAGTAGAGTTCCAAAAATTGAAAATAAAAAAAGTAAAAGTAAAAATTAAAAACTCGTTTAGGGAAATTTGAATACAGTTTCTCCACAAATTGGATTCAGTTGTACAACATATCTCTATGTAATGGAGACACTTCTGGTCATATACAACTCAATCTTTTGGTGATACAGAAATAATTATTCAATAGTGAATAGAATCTTGTTTATTTGGTTTATTTTAATATTCATGAAATCTTGAACATAAACAATAAAGCACAAAGCAAGCTTTTGATATCTTATGAGCTTCTTCTTCTCCTGCATCTTACCTTTTTCTTCTTCTTCTCTTACTTCTTATTATTTTTCTCTCTTTTCTTCTTCTTTTTCTTTTCTTCTTTTCCTTCTTCTCTTCTTCTTGACAATCATACAATTATAGAAGTATATTTTCTCTTCTTTCTTTTCTCTTTCTTCTTTTTTGTCTTCTCTTTCGTCTTCTTTTTCTCTTCCTGCTTCTTTTTCTTGTTCTTCTCTTTCTTCTTCTTTCCCTTCTTCTTCTTTTTATTTTATCTTCCTTCTTCTTTTTCTTTTTCTTTTCTTCTCTGCCATCTCTTTCTTCTTCTTGATAATTATTCAATTATAAAAGTACTTTTTCTCGTCCTTCTTCTTCTTCTTCTTTTTCTTTTTCTCTTCCTTCTTTTTTTTTCCTTCTTTTTCTTTTTCTTCTTCACTTCTTTTTTCTTTTTCTTCTCTTCCTTCTTCTTCCTCTCTTCCTTTTACTTCTTCTTCTCCTTCTTCTTCATCTTTCTTCTTGACAGCAATGCAATTATAGAAGTACTTCCATATTTCCACCATTTATTGAGAGAATGAGTAAAACAGTATTAAAATAATCTTTGCTTTTTCTTGCATGTATGTTCATTATTAAAATATTCAAATGACTCTAAAATTCTGAAAGAGGTCTTGTAAACTGGCCATGATGCCTGCACTCTCTAAAAATGTCACCTTCTTTCAAGATGTAGACAATCATTTCTTTCCACAGATTCTTTTTCTTTCTTGAATTGCCATGTGCTCTTTGGGAAGATTTGTTTTTATTTGCATTCTCCACGGTTTATAATGCAGAATTTTCCCTCTTACACTAGTTGCCAACCAAGCCTAGAGACCCCAGTCTACCATGCTATTTACACCATAGCGACTAGAGTTAATTTTAGATTGTATATACCATATAATTAATTTTAGATTGTATATACCATATAATTAATTTTAGATTCTATATACCATATAATTAATTTTAGATTGTACATACCATATAATCCTTGCATATCATGTGACTTTTGATGACCTAATTTTGAAGCTAAATCTGAAGATGGTTGCATCATATACGAGATATAAAATTAGTGCATATTCTGCTGGCCCTGGCTACATCATTATTTACTGCAGTCAAATTATCTTCAAAATGGAGTTTTCAAAAGTCGCATGATATGTGATTATATACAGTATTTTTATATCTAAACTGTAAAGAAGTATTTGTTTTTTGAGTTGTATTGTATATAATAAAAGAAAATCTTTGACTCACTTTTAATATCTTTGGGTTTGTTTCTTTTCTAAACATATTTCAAAGATGCATGTGACCAAGCAATTATTAGTGAAGAGAATGAAACTGCTGAGTCAAGTTCAAATTCCAGCTTAGATAGTTTCTATTCACTTCAGAATAATTCCTTAGTAAATATATTAATCCATTTCTTCTCACCCCCAGCAATATACAGATTGTAAACTCTAGCCTTGGTTGGCAGCCAGTCTAGGAGAAGGAAAACTCTGTATTTAAAACCATGTAAGCACCAACTGTAAAACCTACCACTAGCTTTCCAAAGAACAGCCATGTCAATACACAAAAAGAAAAAGGAAGATATGAAGAGTCATGACCACCTGTGTCTTGAAAAGAAATAGCACTTAAACAGAAAGAAATAGTTTAGTTGGAAAATCATAAATCATACCTGATCAACTATGAATATCACTATTATTTAATTAGAATTTGGAGAAAAATGAAAGTGTTGCTTTGACATGTTAATTTTTAACACTTATACACGAAAAGGTCAGATTTTGGTGCCAGAGATCAGAGTTTGAAAAGTCATTATTTTTTCTTCTTTGCTTGTTAATTGAAATCAATTTCTCATAATTTTTTTTAATGATCAAATTAGCGAAAATGATAATTAATAAGAGAATCTGATGTAACAGTAATTATAAAAATTACACCAGGCTTTCCTGATGAGGCCTAATTATCACCAAAACTATTAATGGTAATTATCAAAATAATAGAAATTATCATTTTTCTTTGTTTTTACTTATCATGCTCTGCTAAATTAATAATAAATGATTTGGGTCTTTTTTTTTTGTCCGTTTTCTGATTAATGTTCAACTTTCAATAGTATTTCTGCTTGGAGAAAACTTTCTTGAGATATTCCATATTTGCACTACTTGGCATTTTGTATAAGCACTTAAAAAAGATGGCCAACTTTTGTCTGTGAAAAAATATTTCTATTTTCTTTCTTTTCATTTCAGTTGATCTATCTGTCTGGCACAAATGTGTCCATAATCAGTGTATCAGACAGAAGATAAAATTTTTTTTCTTCTTCTTTGTGCCATGTCCCTTCAGGACGTGAGCAATCATGGCTTTCCACAACTTTCTATCCTGTTTAACTTAGTAGTATTTGCTATTCTACTATCCTTTTCATTTACTGTTTTGCCATCCATTGCCACAAGATTTTTAAGAAAGTTACTCACTGTTTTCTTTCCATTGTGCCATCAATGCATACTATTTTGCATGTTCCAGCTGCAGCAAAGCATCCCCAAATCATAATGCTGTCACTGCCATGTTTAATGGTTGGAAGCAAATTCTTCTCTTCAAAAGAAGCTTGCCACATATACCACCTATTATCCATCCTAAAAAGCTCTAGTTTGGTCTCATCTAACCATAAAACCTTTTGCCAGAATGTTTCTAGCTTGTTAATAAAAGCTTTGTCAATGTGAGGTGAGCATATTTGTGCTATTTCAATATGACCTGTCAGTGTCGATTTCTCCAAGCCCACTTTCCTCATTTTTTCCCTGAAATTTCAACTGTGTTCTATAAGTGTCTTTTTGTCGCCACTTTGCTTAAAACTTCCTCATTTTGCACATGTTTCATCTATCATATTCTCAGCATTCTTCTGTAGAGCTGCATCTCTGTTGCCTCAAGACTCCTCTTCATCTTTGAGGAAATTGTTTAATATTCACTGCCATATAGGAGGATTGATTTGTTTTTTATGGCTTATCAACACTTTTGCAGATTATTAAAAGATAGACAATATTTTTAGATTGTAATAATTCTTGGAGATAATGATTTACTGCTATAAATCCTACTGACACATAGCTATGGGTAGAAGCATGAGTATACATCAGAAAAAATTGCCAGCAATACATTTTCATAGTAAAAAAAAAATTTAAATGACCAAATACAGTATTCAAAAAAAATTACCAAAGCTCATAAGAAGATAAAATTATGAGGAATTGATATGCCATTAAGGAAAAAAAAAAAAAAAAAAAATGCTTTTACTATTAGTATACTATGGTAATGGTCATGATAATATAAGCTGTTTCCATACAAGAAAACATTTGAAATTCATTGACTGAGTTGCCAATACTGCTTCCAGCCAAAATTTCTAAAATCTTTTTCTTAAAACATTTATTCAGGAAAATAGGTTTTTCAAATCCAGTAGCTGTTATCACTCTATTTTCCCAGTATTTATGGGAGTTTCTTTCCTAACCATTTGTTTAAAGTAGTGTTCAATGTCAACATCTTGATAAAAATATTATTTACCTTTACAAATTAAATGTACTGTCTATTTTAGTTGTTGCCTCTGTTGAAAGTTCTCTACTGATGTGGTTTCTGTTACTTGATACAGATCTTTATGATTGTGTAACCCCAGTCCACATTGTTCAAAGAATAGGTTTCACTTGTTGAAAGCCATTTTAATAAGTTCTAACTCAGTACTCAACTCTTTTAACCTTGTGTCAGATTAGAGCTTAGTAAATATTTTGATAACGTCACCATTGTGTAGTGGTTAACATGCATCTTTATAGGCTATTACTTTTGTATGAGTTTATTCACACATACATCCTTGTGCCTATATTATACAAATCAATGCTTAATTAATGCTGATATTGCAATACCTTGCAGGTTTTCTGTTTTGTCTCTTTCCGGTATGATATTATTTGAAACTGACTTGTTTCAAATATTTTTTTTTAATGACAGATCTTTGAAGATTATAGAAATCTGATGCTGACATTTTTTCTGTTTTTCACCATCTTTACAGAATGTTGCTGAAGGCTGTGTTGACAACAGTGTGTGACCAAAGTTAAAACATGGGTGTCCTTATCAAGACAAGATACACCAAATTCTTTTTTTTTTTTGTTTCCCTTTTCTGTAGTGGATCTTTTGAATGTTTCTTTTGACAATATTCTTTTTTTCTTCTTTTCTTCCATGTTTCTGCAAAAGAAGAATCCTGTCATATGAAACTACATGGTAAGCAAAAAGTTTAGCCACTCAAATAAAATATCAGCACCATGTCCAAAGAGCAAAGTCTGCAGGAAATATTCTTACCATTCAGAATATGTGAACTCATTTTAAAAGGGTAAAATGGATGCTAAATTTTCCCACACTGATATTAAATAATCTGAAAAATAGTTGATTGAATAACTTGATCGATTTGTTTTTAACAGCTTATCAAATGTTTATTAAAAGCTGAGACCTATTTTGTATTGTAAGAATTATTCATTTTTGCAAATAAATATTGCATTTTTTATAATCATTCCACCCCAAGCAAGGCAGTAAAGCCACTAAGATGAAAGTGGTTACTGAGTGTTACAGAATATAAGGAAAAAACACTATTAAGGTGAGATAGCAACAAAAGAACAAGAATTCAGAAGATAGAAAATAACCATTGGCATTGCATTTAAATTTTTGAAGATCAGAGTTGACTGGGAAGTAAGAAAGAGAGTTCCACATGCAAGTAGTGCGACTGGAGAAACTGTTAACATAGAACATATGGTTACATCTAGCCATTTCAACTGTAAATGATGAAACTTTGCAGCCAAATGAGTGCTTAAATTCATAAAGTCTAGGTACCATAGAGAAAAGTTAATCAGAACAAATTTACAATTTTTTGAAAATAACAAGTGTTTTCCAAAGACAAGTCTGACTATTTAACTCATACATGGGGGAAGAAATGGACTTATACCGTTCCCAAAGGTATTTGCGTGTGAGGGGATATAACAAACCTAACTTGAATTTAAACTCTTCTCTCTAATTTCTGAAAAGAAAGAAAAAACATAAAAATGAATCGTTATTCTACAAAAGTAGACTGAAAAGTTCATAGGCTAACTATTTCAGTCTACCCACCCCCATACTAAAAAGTTACACAGAAAGGGATTATTTAAAAAATTTGACAGGACTTATTTTCCAACCCGATACATACAGGGTGCGATAGGTAAATTGTTGCCATTTTATATTTTTAATTTTGTGCATGCACATTGTTTGATTTTGATTTTGTTGACTACACAGTATAGTAGAGTCAGTTAGGCACCATGATGCAATTCACTCTGCTAGAAATTTGGAAACTGCATGCTGTACTGCTTGGCATTTGTACCAGAAGCTCCAATATGACATTTCAGAGTGTTTGGGTGTCAATCTTAGGACAATGCAGAAAATTCATTGTGATTATGAATATGTTACGCCTCCATATATCTTCCCAAAGGGCCACAGACTTAACACAAATGCCTACATCAAGTGCCTTGATGAGGTAGCACTACTATGGGTCAAGAGGGAGTCTGCTGGAAGACACAACGTCTGGCAACAGGACTCTGCACTTTGCCACACAAGTAGGAGAACCCAGTCATGGCTGTCAGACAATTTCTGTGTCCACATTACCTTTTACCTCTAGTCACCTAACTCCTCTGACTGCAACACTCTTGATTATTATATGTGGTGTGCAAGAGACCAAAAAAGTCCTTGTAACACCAAAGATGAACTGAAAGCAAGGATTATAGCAGCATTCACCAACATAAGCAAGAAGACAGTCCAGAAGAGTTACACGAAATTCTGGAGTCATCTGGAGGCCATAGTTGAGGCCAATGGCAATTTTTTTGAATAAATTTACTTTTTATTATTTCAAGATATCCTTGTGTAATTTTCATAAACATATCTGTTAAGATGAAATGTCAATGTTATTTCCATTTTGTTGAAATTTGGACGACAACTTATCCATCTCACCCTATATATATATATATATATATATATATATATATTTATATATTAAGAATTACATGTAGATAAAACTCAATACCCTATATACATTGACCTCTCTCTCTTCTGTGGATCAGTTTTAGTATTTTATATTACTAGGATTCACTTGGATTAGTTACCACCTATATCTATCTATCTATCTATCTATCTATATATCTATATATATGTATAAAGGGAGAGAAGGTGGGGGAGAAAGATGAGAGACACCGAGAGAAAGGTGAAATAAAGACCTACAGAGAGAGGATTGCTGCAAGATATCAAAAGACTATATGTGAAAGTAGGTCAAGATGAGATTGTGTAAAAATTGTTATGGAGATGTTGAGCAAAAGAATGATAAAAGTGAGGATTTCTAATATGTGTGTTTTCTAATTCCTTATTGTTGCTAGAAATGATTACTAAAAACATCCCTTCCACAAATTTATGGACAAATCCTACAGATGCATGCTGGGATTTGTTTCTAACCACTAAAAAAATGAACCACTTCTTGGTCTCATCTGCTATAATTTTGTTCTTCACTACAATCACTTGACTGTATCTGTTTTGTCATATACTGGGTATGTATTGTAGCATACCTATGGATGATAATGGGTATGTCCCCATTCACATAATTACAGTAGTAAATACTGTATGTTGGTCTGCAGCTGGAGATTCATTGTGGAATTCACTTGACTCACTTCTAGCAGTTGATTATTTTTCTACATGCTGCTGGTGAATCTTATATGTGTTGTTTGTGTCCTAAGTATTATTGTTCATTACCAACCTTTGTGTGATTATTCTATTCAGTAACCTCCCCTAGGTTGCAACAGTATGTTTTCATAAAGGGACAAAGGAAATGAGGCGTTTGTAAGAAATGACCAAACAACTTGGTGGTCTAAATCCAACTTCATTATTTTCAATGTAAAAAGCTAGTTAGTTTTGTATGTTAATAATGTTAGTAGCAGCTATATCTACATAGGTTACTTTCATATGTTGATGCGTATGTTAATATCTAACACCTTTTGTGAGTGAATATAATTATTGATTTGTGAAATTTTTTTCTTTATTACTGTTGTCTTGCCTAGTTTTGACTTGCATATATAGTGTTTGCTTAGTATTATTTTGCCCTGTTTTTTTTTCCTTTTATTATTTTTTACTGAGTACTTTGTCAGTTCCATTTCTTGAGAATTTTGCCAACTGCACTTAATAATTTCCATTTTTTCCTAGTTTTGTTCTTTATGCTAAGCTATATTTTAACAATAACATTGATATTGACCAAATTATTTTGATTAAGGATAATACATATTTCATAGGATAAATATACCATATGTATTTTATATAAGTATATCTTTTTTATTCAAAGAATTTACAATAACTTATCTGATGGTATGGAATGTTATTATGCAACTTAATGGTTATTTATCATATAAGTAAAGATAAAATTTATCAAAGGCTACAAAAAACAGGAAATTCTGTAGAGCCATGATCTCCAACATCCTGAAGGGATACAGCTCATAGAAAAGAAAAAAAGTAATAGTGATTTTCATATTTATTTTTAGATTTCAAAAAGGTAATGGTTGCCACAAATTGTAAGAAAGAGAAACAAAATATTATAAAGTTGCTGACTGATGTGAACATATGGAAGGGCAGACTTCTCGTGTCTTGGTAGCTGCCAGTCTAGGAGAAGGAAATAGTTCACTGTGTGTCATTTCTTTGTTATTAGTTCTTTTCTGAAAACAGAATCTGACTACTACTACTACTACTACTACTAATAATAATAATTCTACTAACCTGCTACATTAGTTCCCCAAAACAGAACTGTTAGGTCTCCACATACAGTATTTCAGAATTGATAGGAATAGTAATGGTAATGGTCATATTAGCTATTTCCTATGGAAAAATATGGCATTCATTGCCATTGAGTGAAATTTATAAAAGACAGTTTTTCAGGAAAAATAGTTTGCTCTGTTCTAATAACTGTCATTGTACAATTCCTACTAATTAATCTATAGCAGGGGGAAGAATAGCGGAGTCATACCTTTCCCAATAGTATTTGCACATAAGTGAATATAATGAACCTGACTTGAATTAGAACTTTGCTCCCAGATTTCAAATTCTGAGCTGTTACACCTGCCACACAGCCAGGCTTACAGCACCTGGTATTCCCAAGCTATCACCCATCTAGGTACTGGCCAGGCTCAATGTTTCTTAACTTTGGTAAAAATAATTAAAATCTCTGTTTAAGTTAGTGCTGCACTAAGTATTTGCTTATCTGCTGATCATTCTATGTCTCATGTAAACTTGTTTACAGCCAAAATACAAGGAAATTATTGGGCTAACGTTTTCCACTGATAGAAAGTGGAAAGATTATATTGAATCAATTGCTAGGTCCACTGCTAGGAAGGTTGGTTCACTATATTGAAATTTTTCTTGCGAGAATTTATCTGACAAATTTATAAGTCTACCATACGTCCATGCATTGAATATTGCTGTCACATCTTATTCTCACATTAAAGGGCATTTTGTTTGTCATACCTAAATGGTTGCTCATTTGAATCAAGTCTACCATTTCTCCTTGTTTTGAATAATGCTACCATTTCTGGTCTGGTGGTTCTACTATATATTTAGAGATTCTTGATAAAATCCAAAGAAGAATTTGCAATGTTATTGGTACTGACCTGGCATCTCAGTTTCAGTCACTTTTCCACTGCCATGACATAGCTTTCCTGTGCTTTTTCTGTAAATATTTTCATCCTAATTGTTCTGATGAGACCTGATATCAGAATGTTGGGCAATGTATATCTATAAATACCTTTATCTAGCAATTCTTTGGTATCTAGACTTTATAAATTTAACTGCAGTACTAGATTGGCAGAAAGGTCTCGTTATCTTTCAGTTGAAATGGCTAGATATAACTACGTTCTATGCTAATAGATTCTTCTCTCTAACTGCTTGCCTGTCGAACTCTCTTCCAGTTTCTTGATTTTAGTCACTTTTCATCTTCAAAACTTTAAATGTGGCATCAATCATTGTTAATTCTTAATCTGTTATTGTTCTCTCACTTTAATAATGTTTTATTTTTTTTTCATATTCTTTCACATTCAGTAACTACTTCCATCATAGTGGCTTCATTGCAATGCTTGGCAGGAAAGGACTAAAAAGAAAAAAAGTTGTGTTGTAGTGTAAACAAGGGAGATTACTTAGGTAGTTTTTGTACGCTTTGTGTATGGCTGGATAAATACACACACACACACACACACACACACACACACACACACACACACACATATATATATATTTGTGTGTGTATGTGTGTGTGTATATATAATTCTTATGGTCCGGTTCCTTGTACCACGGTGATGGTCCAAGGTAGAACCAATAAAGAAGAACTCGAACACGGATATGGAAGAACACAGATATATTACAAACAGGAATATATACAGAGAAGTAATAGAGAAGTATGGACAATAAGGTTTAGTAGAGAGAACCATGTAGTCTCGACCAGTATCACTATTCCAATGTCTTGCAATAATTGTCTGAACGCGACTCTGTTTCGGACTGCCTCTGACTCGACTCTTGACTCGACTTGAACTACTGACTCTACGATATTCAGTCACACCCCCACGAGGGCATCATGTGGCACAAGGCCGGTTTTTAACATGGGATCTCCCCAAAAGAGAATTCGTCCTTTGGCATAGCCTCGTTCGGGTTCCTCCCCGCCTGAAGGCAGAGAGTTAAACCGATCAGCCGGTCGACCGAGATCGACTTGAACTACTGACGATATTCAGTCACCCCACCACTAGGGCATCATGTGGCACAAGGCCGTTTTTTAACGTGGGATCTCCGAGCCAGTGGGCTTGGCCAAAAATATGCCCATTGAACCCATATAAACGGGTTCGGGGTCGGTTTACCTCCCCAAAAGAGAATCCACCCTTCGGCATAGCCTCCTTTGGGTTCCTCCCCGCCCGAAGGCAGAGAGTTCAACCGAACAGTCAGTTCAGAAGTGAACTACTGACTGACCCCTTGCCTACTCCTGAGGCGACAGTATTTATTAAGTATGGAATAGTCCATTATTATTATTATGGGTAAGATTCCATAATTATAATCTTTTCCAAATCTTATTTTTCTACCAATTTGTATAATAAACATCTTCTCACAATTTTATAGACTCTCAAACACACTGTGTTATTTGTTATTTTTAGGAATTTTTTTCTGCCTTGTTATTTTTTTGCTTTGACAACATCAATTCACAAATTTCCAATATTGGTATTAGTAAGTGTATGACTGGCTGGTCATATCAGAGTGCACTTGTCTGCTAGAGCAGCTTATACTGTAATTATTCTGAGCATACCATAGTTATAGTTTCTAGCAGAGAGGATATAGTCTGGCATGATCAACAGATTGAACAAAACCAGTAAGCTCAAACTCTCGGTCACGATGACTTTTGTAGCATTGTCCTAGCACATCCATCAATGGCTTTCAACAATTTTGTGCATTCAGTTCTAATAACATAGCACTGGTCAACTTGAGGCATAATTTTTAGGCACTCCCCAATTGTATGCCATGGCATGGAGCCACATGCTGGGATCATCTTCCAGGATATCATGATTGATGGTATTTGATCTTGAATTTATTCTGACAGAATTCTAATGCTCTAACCACTTGGCCATATATATATATATATATATATATATATATATATATATTTGCACACACATGCACACACAGACACATACACAAATACAAAGAGGAAAAAATCAACCTAACACTAATAACTAGCGCATAAATTAATTTTTAACTTAGTATAAAAATAAAAAAAATGAGAAAATCTGCAGTGAGTTGCTGAAACCTCCTGATGAGTGGACAGAAGAATTACAGAAAGGTTTGTCCACAAAACTCCAGTCAAGATGCTGAATATAACATTAATAAGATCAGTGACAAATTTTATTTGTATTAATATATATATATATATATATATATATATATATATGTACAGTGTAACCCGAATATAAGAGAGTTGTCGGGACCGGAGAAGAAGTCTCTTATATCCGGGTTTCTCTTATATCCTGGTTTGGTCTATTTTGTTTAGGTAACACAGGCTCTAATTTGGGACTAGAGAAAATCTCTCTTATATCCAAGTTTCTCTTATATCCGGGTCTCTTATATCCGGGTTACACTGTATTATAAAAGTGAACTTGAAATCAACA